TATGTAAAGAAAAATATGTATTTTACTAATTATAATTAGTAAAAAATTTAAGCGTTGCATTATTTTTGATTGCCACTGTATATGTAATTTTTGTAGATTTTTAAATATTATTTGTCTAAAGCTGACTTACTATTATTTTTTATACTTTAAGCTTAAAAATAGATAATATTTTTAATTATTTTTTTTATTAATAAATACAAAAACTAATAGTAAAAAAGATAAGTTGATAGTTTATATATATAAAGTAATATTAATTTAATATTTTGCATACTGAATTATATATTTATAATAATTATTATATATAATTAATAATTTTATATAATATTAAAAGAAAAAATAATTAGTATTAAAAATCTTTATAAGAATATTTAAGTTTTTTAATTATTCACTAGAAAAAGATTTTTGTATACAGATTTAATATTTTTATATAATAATTAATATTATTAATATAAAATTTAGAATCAAGAAGATTATAATTAGAATTTGAAATCTGAATTATATATAAGTTTTCTTTAATATTTTTATTAATATATCAAGTTAGATTTTTTATTTCTTCATGTTGTATTTGTTTATCAGATTGATATTATATTACCGATTTTCTTGCATATAATTAAAACTTGAAGAGAAATTAAATAAATGACACATTTTAGATTATTAATCCTAGAACTTCAACTGTTGAGAATAGTAACTGAAACACTTTATTATTTCCAATCACAAAAATTAAGTGTAACATACGAATTTGACCAATCAGATTACAGATGTAAAAAATTTTATAACCGCGCGCGCGTGCATTGATACATTTTTAGTACATGTAGTTCCTTGCGTAAAAAAAGAAATGGTGCATGTTCGATATTGTAGATCATTGATAGAATTAAATTGTAACACAGTTCTTGTTACACGACACGAACTATTAAAAAAGCCTCACATTGATCAATCAAATCACAGTTATAGTTAAACTTTTCGTTTTTGAAATTATTGTTATTATTGTATTAGTAATAAAACAATAATAATAAAAATATGGAACAAAGAAATAAAAGGGCAGTGAAAACTAAAAGAGTTTGTTTGACATTGACACATACTCGTGCTCTTTCACCTGTTATTTCTTCTACTCCTCGTTTGTTGTCGACGCCTGCATATTCGCATCCGTCTCCTCGCAACTCTTTTCAGTTAAGTATAAATATGGTAAATATTGAATCAACGATATCAAATGTTCAGCGGCTACTACAATCACAAACTTCGACCGAAGAACAACAAACTGGATTATCATTACAGAATGAAAGTACCACCACAATTGTTAATAGTAATCCAGATCCAATAGCATCAGCACCAACAATCGTCACACTTCCGCCCGAAATCTTTATCATAATTTGCTCAAACCTCGCAGCTATGGATTTATTGAGTCTTTCAAAAGTCTGTCGACTATTTAACTCTTATTTGTGTGCTAGTGAATCCACGAGTACCCAGCAAATTTGGCGCTCTGCCAGATTACAGATTTGGTCGTGGGCCGAGCATCCAGCACCTGACATTGTTGACGAAAAAAGATTTTTGGAAATGTTGTTGGAGCGTCGATGTGAATGGTGTGGCGAGTTACATGCGTATCAGTATGATCGGTTGGTGAAGGAATTGCAGAAGCAAAGGAAAGAAATTATTATCTTGGATGATAAAAGTGAAAGTGATGACGAAAAAGTTGATGGAAACCAGGATGAAGATATTTGATGACTCAAAGTCATGTGAGAACATCTCAAGGGATGGGGTGTGATGATGAATTATCATTATATTTATTATTAAGAACAATTCTTTTCATCCAAAGGATCGAGGAAAAATTTGTGATGACATTTTTTTTCTTTAAATAAATGTTGGTAAAAATTATTTTGTTATTTTTGAAATAGTCGATTATGGGTGATTGGTTTAAGAAGTTTTAATATGTGTGTGTTTAATATTTAAGCTGTCAAAGCTTATAAGTTATTGAATACATGAACATGTATGTAACAATGCTAGTTTCATGTTGTATTGCATGCATATGCAGGATCACATGAACCGAACAAAGCATTGGCATACTTATCCCACAGTAGTTTTCGTTAAATATGAAAATCTCCAAATATTAACGTTAAATGTCTGATATCAAGGCAAAATAAAAGCATCGCTAAGACTTTATACTTTCAACAATAAACAAATGATTCACTTTTTATTTTAACATGAGTCTTTAAAGATCGAAAAAAGAAGCCGATTGTTTCAGAGCACTAGAAAAATAATAATGGTATTTTAAGAAATTTTTTACATTGAACTTACATGCGGTTTAGGGCTTAATTATAAATATTTATTTTTATAAGCTCGAATAACGTCACAACTACGATACTATCTAAGTCGTTTTGTTTTGGGAATAAGAAATCTGATTCTAAACGAAATCATTCGCTCATGTTAAATTCACTTTATTTATAAATCCTTGGTTTATTCAAAGTGAGAAAAGGTAACGGTCTAATTTTTCGACACTATTATTGTTGTTTTATAATTAAATACCGTAACATTAAGATAAAAAAGCCAAAGTTAGTGACGGTCACGTTCAAATTTCATAATGCCCATAAAAGTATGCATCCATAAGCATTACACTGCTAAAGAATCTGCATAAGTTAAGTTTGACATCTTTCAAATTTTGATTGGACTTAACAGAATTGTTATAATTAAATGAAGAACAGTCTGATAAATTCTATTTGATGCATAGTCTTAATATAACGAATTCTTTGAAAGTTTCCATTGATGGATCGGATGTGTCTTTATATTGTAACGATTAAAGCATTTTTTACCATAAGCAATATCAAAATGAAAAAGAAAAAGAAAATTTTACAATACCGACATGGAAAACTCTTTTTTCAAGACTGACAGTTAATTAACATAACACCTATGGAATAAAGAGCATGGTAGAATTTATTGGAAAATATTCAATTAGCTGAAAAAATTTTCCTGTATAATCAAATTAAATTAGCAGCCATCCTTGGCTCTAATATAACTGCAAATAGTCTTTCTCATGCATTTTTATAAGATATTAAGTTTTCATTTAAATTCATAAAGATCCGGCGAGTGAGAAATCCTATCAAAAAGCACCTTAGTTCGCTTTTGAGCAATCCTTTTAACTCGCAATTATTTTTATTTGCGATCAATTTTTCGATTGCTAAACAAAATTCCATAATTATCAGAAGCAGCACAGTATATAGGAACTAAAAAAAGATGAATGAACACTTCCAAAAATAATGGAGCTCAAATCGAGTTTTATCAACTAATATTTATAGCATTAACAATAATGTTTCTTTTAAATTAGAGAAATCATCTCATAATTTAATACAAATTAAGTTAATGTGACAAAAGATGGTGAAGTTAGGCTCTGTTTTGCTTATCTTGATTAGAAAGAAAATTAAAGTCATGAATTGCTGAATATAGCATCTATCTTTGGTGATTATGGTAAGCTAACAATATTTATAAAAATCTCGAAATTCTAGCGTTTATTCATAATTAATTGCGTAATATTGCTTTTGCGATATTTACAAAATTTTGGCAATATTGTCATGCCGCAAGTTAAGACAGTAATCATATCTTTTAGTTATTCTTTTCCATTAATAACAAAAAGCTATTATAGCTATAAATAAAAAATATATTAATTATCGTTAAGCCTGAATAAATCTCAAGAATCGTAAATACTTGTTACAGAATGAGTTTATTTTTGCTTTGTGTGCAGAGGCTGAATGTTATTTAGGCCATACAAAAATAATTTTTGGTTTTGATAACATAAAATTTTTAAATAGACCTGCAACCTGGCTTTTAATTTTAAAAAAATTTTGCAATTACTTTGTTCTTAAAAAATCAAAAAATTAAGTTAAAATAAAGAATTCTAGCTTTATTTTGAGCTAAGAATAAAACATATTTAATAATAAAATTAAAAAATTTCATATCATGATGACCAAAAGTAATGGCTCAGGATATTAATAAAACATAGTAAAAATTGAAATTTTCTCTCTATATTAAAGTTATAATTTTATTAAGAAATAATTTTTATTTTTATATCAAAAT